CCGCTCGATGCTCGATCCTGCTCCGGGCGCTTTCAGGGCAGTGGTCCCTGCCAGTGGAGCGCCCGCTCGCCCTTTGTGTGGGGGCCCAGCGGGCTCCTCCTGGCGGGCCAGGCGGGCTCACCGGGCCTCGTTCTTGGGAGATGCACCGTTCGAGGAACAGTTATTGGCATAAAGACCTTCTGGAGGGCCGCGTGGATTTCTCGGATCGGCGCTGGAGCCTCCTGGCGGCGGCGCGCGCCGGGGAGGGGGGTCCAGCGCCGATCCAAGGAATCCGCGCGAACCTCCACAGGTTCATGTTTATGTGTTTCTCTCCCGGACCAAAAAGTACGTAGCACCCCGCAGATGCGGATAGGAGTGAGAGGGCGGTGGGGACGTCGGCAGTCTTCGAGACTCTGGAGAATCCCGCCGCAGGCGCCAAAGTTTCACAAATTATGCAAAGAGCCCGCCGCAGGCGCCGATTCTTTCGATAAACCAATGTGGGTAGGTCGCGGGTGGGTCGCAAATGGGTCGCAAATGGGTCGCGGGTGGGTCGCGGGTGGGTCGTTGTTGGGTCGCGGGTGTGTCGCGGGTGGGTCGTGGGTGTGTCGCGGGTGTGTCGTGGGTGGGTCGCGGGGTGGGTCGCGGGTGGGTCGCAGGTGGGACGACGACAACAAAGAACAACAACGCAACACCGCAACAAACAGAATCCTCACCACGGATCCCCACTTGAGCCACGCACCCAGGGGCAATGCATGACTGTTCGGCCCCCTCACTCTGACGGTGGTTGCGACGCACGCCGCTCGAGGCGGTGCACGGGCCAGAATGCTTAGGGTTCGGGCGCACGCCGCGTTGATGCTTCCCCTCGCCGTGCACTGCTGTCATACCACTGCCAGTCGTAACTTGTTTTCTCTTGCAGAGCTTGCGAACCACCTTCGAGCGCGCTAGTGCTAGCAGACTGTCTTCTTGCATCAAGATAGCGACAGCCTCACCGCACCCTCCGCGTGTGCTTGTACAGCATTTGCATAGAGTCTACCGACCTACCCCGAACCTCGCGCAAAAGCGCACTTCGCGCTGCTTGCCGGGCGCCTGCTCCCTGACTCCACGTGTGGGTTCCGGCGCCGCCCGAGGGGGCCCGATCACAACTACAGTGAGCGGCTTGAATACGGAACACTTACTTTTCAAAAGGGGCTCGGTCGTTCCTTAGGTTTTACATGCGTTATTTGCAGTTCCTTATGCGTTATCTATTATTTATCGTTCCTTATGCGTTATTCCTTGGGATAAGAAAGGGCTTCGTTCCTGATGTATCGTTCCTTAGGTCAGGCCGATGACTGTACAGCAGACACATCAGGCAAGCCATCGGCCTTCGAGCATGTGCCCCGCCGGAATGTCTGATCCCCCGCTCGCCCCAGGGGCCCACAGAGGCTCTGGGGCACCTCCGGAGCCTCCAGGATCGACGAAGAGTGTTCCCCAACAGCTCGTGCAGCAGGATCTCGTGCAGTCGGGGCCCTGAAGAAGGAACCCTTTTGGTTGGGGAGGGGCTCCGCGTTCCTTAAGCGTTTCGCAGCTTGCCTCAGGTTTTCCTCATGTTTTTCGATGGGAAATCGAGGCTCAACTTATGGAAAAAAGGAGCCTCGTTCCTTATTTTGGGTTCCTTGGGTCAACGCCCCGACTGTATCGCACGTGCCTGCTGCAGGCGTGTACAGTAGGCTCCCTGACCCCCATGTGTCGGTTGCAGCGCCGTCCGAGGGGCTCCGATCGCATCTGCACCCGATACAGTGGCTGGCCAGTTGGCCTGCCGTTGGTCCTGCCGCCTCGCAGCGCGATCTTCTCCGATGGAGCGGACTTCGAGGCCCCATTCAGCACACGTCGCGTTGCCAGCTGGCTGGCCCACGCAGGAGGTGCGAAAGGTGAGCGCAACCCTTCGAGTTAAGGATCCCTTGAGCGAGGCCCCTGAGCAGGTCGCGCGTGACGGCGATGCTCATGCGGCTACTCTGTTGTCCCGTCACGCGATATTGGGGGACCCCTCAGAAGTGCTTATAGATTGTGCGAGCACTGTTGGTTGCTTCAAGATGATCGGGGCCCAAAGCACCCAGCGCAAGGCGCCGACCTGCTGGCCGAGGAGGCCAGTCGGGCCCGTAAGCCCTGTGGAGATCCGCAGGTGCATGCACGGGTGCCTGGAGCTGGCTCGAAGGATGTGCGCCTTCGCGACCTGGACGGAGACGGTGCACTCGCGCTCAAAGAAAGCAACAGTTTGGACTTGATCTGGGTGGTACCGATTCTGTTGGACTCCATCCCTTGGCTGCCCGCGCCCCTGCCGTCCAGTGACGGGCGCGGGGGATCAGCCGTTCTCCTCCCCCGCTCTTCCTCGGCCAGTCATCCGTCGTCGTCGTCGTCGTCGTCGTCGTCGTCTTCGTCGTCGTCGTCGTCGTCGTCGTCGTCGTCGTCGTTGTCGTTGTTGTCGTCGTCGTTGGCGTCGTCGTCGTCGTCGGCGTAGTCGGCGTCGTCGTCGTCGTCGACGTCGTCGTTCGCGTCGTCGTCGTCGTCGTGGTCGTGGTCGTAGTCGTAGTCGTCGCCGCATTATCCTTGCACCCCGCCTCGGTCGGACGTGGGGGCAGATGGGGCACCACCTGTTGGAGGCAGGTGGTCTGGCCCCGTGGCCGAGTGCCAGAGACAAGGGCGCCCCCGAGAGCGCGAAGTTGTTCGCGGTTCGGCTCCGATTCCTCCTCGTCCTCCTCGTCTCCCCTGGGAGGCGGCGCGAGAGCGCGAAGTTGTTCGCACCTCGCGCATCGCGGAGTTGGCCAATCCCGACTGCATGAGTGGCGGTGAGTGTGCCAGTCCATTGCGACGGAGGGGCGTTCCAGGAATGCCCTGAGATCCGACGTAGCAAAACAATGCAACATCGTAAAGCACCACACCCGGAGCCCCGACCCCCCATCTTTCTGCGCCATTCCTCAAGGCGGATCGATCTGTGAGGGTCCCGGGGCCCGAGAAGAAGCAACAACGCCCGGCTCGAACAACATTGAGACGCCAGGATCTTAGGGCGTGTGCAAGCCAAGCGGGGAGCCCCCGTCAAGACTGACGCGCGCGTGGCGAGAGCCAGTGGGGGCCTGCAGCCTTGCGACTCGGACCCGCGGCGCGCCGCCTGGCCCCGGCGCTGGGAGGCCCACACCCTCGGATGCCGAGCCGAAGGGGCCCCCGCGGCTCGCTGCCGAGAGCCTCCGCCTCGAGGGCCCCAAGGGACGATCTCTCTGTGCTCTCAGAACTCCTCGCGTGGTGAGCGAACGTCACTGCGGCAGGTTGTTCGCCATTTTCAGCCTCCAGGGGCCCTCATTGGGCCCCAGGGCCGTCAAAAAACGCACATCACGGCGGAAGGTTTTTCTCCATTTTCAGCCTCCAGGGGCCCTCATTGGGCCCCGGGACCGTCAACAAAAACTACTTAGGATGAAAAAGCCTTTTCCCGGGGAGGCGACGTTGCGAAAAAATCACGACGTCGGAGGTCTGAGCAGTTCTTCGGCGATCTCTCCCCTGAGTCCCTGGTGTCCCAATTTGTTCGAGCCGGGCGTTTTCGCTTTTTCTCGGGCCCCGGGACCCTCACAGATCGATCCGGCCCGAGACATGGCGCAGGAAGGTGGTGTCCAGGGCTCGCGGCGCGATGTTCTGCGATGGTGCCCTCTTTTTTCGCCGCGCCGGAGCTCAGGGCAAGGGGTCCTTACTCGTCATACTGTTTTCGCCGCGTCGCTCCCTCCTCCTGTAGCGGCGGGACTCTCGTCCACTGTTTTCGCCGCGGCCGATCTCTCTGCAATGAGCTCTTGGGGCCCTCCGTGGCCCCAGCTGCGTCGCCCGCCCCTGGGCTGTTCCTGGGGAGGAGGAGGAGGAGGAGGAGGAGGAGGAGGAGGAGGGAGGAGGGAGGAGGGAGGAGGGAGGAGGGAGGAGGGAGGAGGGAGGAGGGGGAGGAGGGAGGAGGGAGGAGGAGGAGGAGGAGGAGGAGGGAGGAGGAGGAGGAGGAGGAGGAGGAGGAGGAGGAGGAGGAGGAGGAGGAGGAGGAGAGGCCCCTGCCTGGGGCGGGCCGGCGGCCAGACCACCTCCAGAGAGGGCTGTGGTGGCGCCCTTTGGGCTGCTCCTGCGAGGGGTGCGGGTGGAGGACCTAGGTCGGGGGTCCCCAAACGGGGTGGTGACCACACCGTGCGGTGAGTCCGTGGGGATTTGGGGTCACCGCACGGTTTTGGGACTCAGGTCGTCCTCCGAGGACGTCTCGGGCGACAGGGGCATCCGAGGTCCCAAAACCGTGCGGTGACGGACCGTGCGGTCAGGTCTTGGGGGATTTCGAGGTCACCGCACGGTCCGTCACCGCACTGTTTCGGGACTCCCAACTAGGGAGCCACATACGAACCCTAACCCTACCCCCCACGATTTCTGAGGGGGAGGGTGGGGCTCACTTTGTTCGGGAGCTCCCGAGCGAAGTGAACCCCACCCTCCCCCTCAGGAATCGTGGGGGGTAGGGGTAGGGTTCGCATATATGCCCCTAGGACCACGCCCCGGACGCGGGGACCCCCCTCCGCACTCGATGGACGCGTGCTTGGGGGGCGATACACTGGGGGGGGCGGCGAGGGCGGCAGAAAGGGGTCCTTCGGGGCCTCCCGCAACCGGCCCTTCATGACCCAGAGCCCAGACCCCCGACGTCGAGATTTCTTCATGACGTCGACCCCCAGAGGTGTGGACCCATTCCCCGGGACTGGTTTCTCATCATCCTGAGCCGTTTTTGCTGGCCCCGAGGCCAGGTGAGGCTCCCAGAAGGTTGAGAATTGGGCAAAACTCCCCTTCGTGATTTCTCATGGCCCGCGAGGGTCTGGGAAAAGGGGGCCCTCCGGGTCCAAGAAGGGCTCGTTCCTCCTCCGTAGCCATGTTGGCTCCATAGTCGCGCCGGCCCTCTGCCGCTCGGCGTGGGCCCCAGGGCGCGCGGGCGCATGTGAGCCCGCCGTCGCGCGCCCGCGCGCCGCTCTTGGAGCCGCGCGCGCCGCGCGATGGGCCCCGCGGGCGGTGGCGCCTGGGAGCCGCTCGCCCAGCCGCGCGGCGGGCTCCCGGCGGGCACCCCGCGGGCTGCGGCGCTGGTCGCCGCGGCCGCGCTGGGCGCGCTGGCCCTGCGGGCGGCGCGCGGGGGCCCCGGGGCCGCCGCTGTCGCCGCGCCGCGGGGCGCGGCGGAGTACCTTGGCCTCCGGGAGTCCGGGCAGGAGGTGTCGGAGGAGAAGGGCACCCAGGCCCGCACGCACCTCCGCAGCGGTGGTGGCCAGGGCGCGGTGTGCAGGCGAACCGAGGCCCAGAATCGATCGGAGTCGGGGCTCATGTGCTTCCTGGTCATGCAGTCGAGCACGGACGAGCTCTCGCTTGTCCAGAACCAGCTCAGGACGGGCGCTGGCATCTTTGCCTGCGACGCTTTCGTCGTCTTCAGTGACGAGATCATGCAGATCGGGGAGTATGGCATACTTCCGACCGCGCTTATGACCACCGTCATTCCCGGGATCAGCCTTCAAGCTCCCGCTGGGACGTTGTCGCACATCATCAACTCCAGAATCTTCCTGCACGCCTGGCAGCTCCTGTCCGAGGAGGTGTGCTTCAACGAGACGGACTGGTTCGTGAAGGTTGACCCGGATACGGTGTTCATGCCGCGGCGCCTCAGGCCCCGGCTTCCCAAAGGCTGGGGCTCCAGCGAGCCAGCGGGCATCTACATGCGCAACTGCGAGGTGGCAGCCCCGACCGACCTGGGCTTCTACGGCGCCGTGGAGGTGCTTTCGCGCAGGGCGGTGCTCGCCATGCTGGCTGGCCTGGACGAGTGCAAGGCAAACTTGGGGGTGAACGGTCTCAACTACCTCGCGTTCGGCGAGGACCTGTTCACTCAGATGTGCCTGGACCACGTCGGCGCAGCTCGGAGGTACGACCCCGGGCTCCTGTCCGACGCTTTCTGCAGCTCGCGCCCCTCGGCGGACTGCTCGAGTGGCGCGGTGGCGCTGCACCCCTTCAAGACCGTGGACCAGCAGGTGGACTGCATCCATCAGGCGGCCCTTGCGGAGTCTGCGCCTCCACCGCCGTGGGTCGCCGAAGGGCCCGATTCCCGTGGGCTGGGAGCATAGGGGCAGGTCCGCTTCTGCGGCCTCCTCGTCTGCATCCTAGTCCTCATCCTCCTGGTCGTCTTTCTCATGCTCTCGCCTCTCTTTCCTCTCACTGCGTGCCGCTCTGCGGACGGAACGGGCACCCCCTAGGCGATGCTGTAGAAAACTCAAGTTTTCGGCCAGAGACTCGATTATTCTTAATGTTTCGATGTAAACTCTAAGCTGTTAATAGAAATTCTGAGACTATGAATTTTTTAACCCATGATTTCTAGAGCATCTCTCAGGGTGTACCCCAGCGGACGGCAGCGCCCCTCGGGCGCCCGCGGCCCCACCTGGCAGGTGTGTGCCGTAGCGCTGCCGGCGGCGCGCAGCCGAGCCTCGGCGCCGGCGCTCCCTTCATGTTGCGAGCAGCCAGCGCGCCAATGACTTGTGTCGGCATCTCGCAGCATGAGCTAAAACGACGCGAAGATCGGGACAAAATCGGATCGGGATAACTCGAAATCTATGAGAATCGGCGGGTTTGGAGGATGTATTGGGCGCCGCGGCCGCTCCAGAGCGTTCTGGAACGCTCTGAGAGCGCTCCGAATCTCTGGAGCGATTTATCCTGATTCTAGCCCTGCTTTATGAGCAACAGCCAGCATTTCCAGGATGCATTGGTGCTTTGGCAAAGGCCTGTGACGTACCAGTGCGGCTGTCTGCACCGTTCATGGCTCCCATGAGGCGCCGATTGAGCGCACGAGCCATCTTAGATGTTGACAGCTTCTTGCACTGTCTGATTGTGAACCAATCGTCTCCACGTCACCGCAGCCTTGGCCATCATGGAAGCAGGGAGTGAGGAGGAGAGGGAGTTCAGGGGGAGAGCGACCGAGGGAGGGCGAGGATTGTGTGAAGCGGCTACATCATTCTGCGTGCCATGCGCGTTAGCATTCGGCTTGCTAATAGCAAGCTTCTGTAGGTAGCATTGCCTTGCAGAGTTAATGGTGTACGAACGTGCGTACGCAATACGGCACTGTCTCAGTGCCTCGCAGCATGGTGGAGCATTTTCACGACACGAGCTCAGGCGCCCATGGTTAATGTTGGCCCATGGAGCGAGCTTCCTAATCTGAAAGGCATGGATGGTGTCCGTTGATTGCGCCCTGCTTGCCACCAGCCTGCTGATGTGAGGCGGGTGGGTGGGTGGGAGGTGGGTTTCGGGGAGGACGAGGCGTGTCATGATGGAGAGGAGAGAACACGCATGATGAGGATGCTGGTGGAGGCGCGGCCTGTGTCAGCGAACTCCTCGTATCGCAGAGAGGCGAGTCAATCAAGAAAAGGGCTCCTTTCTCCCCCCCCATCGATCGTCCCCCCCATGGATTCGCGCCCTCCTCCCAGGAAAGTCGCCCCGAGCCGACAGCGAGCGTTCTGTCGCTGTCGGCCCGCTCTGCCGCAGCACCTCGGCGGAGAGCGCGGGGGCCCCCGCGCGGCCCTGCCTCTGCCCGGCGCGCGCGCGGCTGCGCCGAGGGGTCGGCCTCCGGGAGCGAGACCCGGGGGCAGCGCAAGGGGTCGATGCCTGGGGAGCGATCCATGTTGGTGGCGAGCGAGGGGGGGGGAGAGTGAGAGGGAGCAGGCCTTCTCGGGAGGCGGCGGCACTTCTCGGAAGCCCCTCGCGCCTTCTGAGAAGTGTTCTGCGTTCCCGGGGATGGCTGAAGCAACCTGTCGTCGGAAGGCCCCAGGACTTCCGAGCCTTCTGGGAAAGGCCCCCCCCCTCCTCGCTTCCCCCCCAGGGCTCGCCTTCGAGCCTGGGGGCAACGCATGGGCGCGATACCTGGGGGCGATATATATATATATATATATATATATATGTGTGGCATAAACATAAACAATATATATATATATATATATATATATATATATATATCGCATAACACATGTATAATACTAGGTATATAATATAACACACATGCATATAGTATTGTGGCAACGCGTGGGGACAATCTTTTGGGGGCGACACATGGGGGCAGTACTTGGGCCCAGATGTCTGGCGCTCCAGTTTTTTTTCCGAGGCGTGGACCTCCCGAGGTCTGGACAACTTCCCCACGCGGGGCCAGCTTTTCATCCCGAGTTGCAACAATCGTGTGGTGTTGGGTCCCTGTTTGGAAAAGACGGTCCCCGCGTTCCTCTTCTCCTCCCCTCCTCATGCCCCTCCTCACCCTCCTTTTCCTCCTCCTTCTTCCAGGCGCTTCACCCACCCAGCACAGCGTTTCGTTGCCCCATAGGGAGCTCCACCGAAGGTCCTCAGTGGGACCGCCCGCATGCGTCCGCCACCACCCAGCACAGCCCTTGCTCCCTGCGTTTCACCCACCCAGTACAGCGCTTCGTGGCCCCATAGGGAGCTCCACCGAAAGTCCCAGCAGCACCGCGCATGCGTCCGCCACCAAAAAACACGGCCCTTGCTCGCTGCGTTTCACCCACCCAGCACAGCGTTTCGTGGCCCCACAAGGGGGCTCCACCGAAGGTCCCAGTGGCACCGCCCGCATGCGTCCGCCACCACCCACCACAGCCCTTGCTCCCTGCGTTTCAAACCAGCGCTTCGTGGCCCCATAGGGAGCTCCACCGAAGGGCCCCGTGGCACCGCCCGCATGCGTCCGCCACCACCCAGCACAGCAATTGCTCCCTGCGTTTCGCCCACCCAGTACAGCGCTTCGTGACCCCATAAAAAGGGGGCTCCACAGAAGGTCCCAGTGGCACCGCCCGCATGCGTCCGCCACCACCCAGCACAGCCTTTGCTCCTTGCGTTTCACCCACCCAGTACAGCGTTTCGTGGCCCATTGGGACGTCCGCCACCACCCAGCACACCTTTTGTTTTTTGCGTTTCGCCCACCGACTACAGCTTTTCGTGGGTCCCAGTGGCACCGCCCGCATGCGTCCGCCACCGGTACAGCGTTTTGTGGCCCCATAAGGGGACTCCACCGACGGCCCCAGTGCTACCGCCCGCATGCGCCCCCCCCCCCCACTCAGTGCAGCGTTTCGTGGCCTTACAGGGAGCTTCACCGAAGAATATATGCACAATTGCGGCACCCACAATTGCATATGGTTGGGTCCTTCGTCAGGATAATTTGTTCACGGGCCCGGGGCTCGGTGAGGGCTCCCAGAATCTGAAAATGCCCCAAACTGGCTGCTAATGGGGGCAGTCCACCACCGCCCCGTTCACTTCTATCCGCAAGCGCGGGGTGCTACGTGTTCCAAATCTCCCTTCGTTACGTCGCACCTGACACATCTGGTGATCGGAGCGGCTTCTCCTCCCCCTCTATCGGCAGCTGCCGGACCTATTCGGCCATGCGCTAACGCCCGGGTCGATTTGTCCAGCCCAGCGTTTTTCCCAGCCATCCTGTGGTGTTGGATCCTCGTTTTGAAGAGACGGTCCCCGCGTTCCTCCTCCTCCTCCTCTCCTTCTTCTCCCTCTCACTGCTCTCCCTCCTCCTTCCTCCCTGCGTTTCACCCACCCAGTACAGCGCTTCGTGGCCCCATAAAGGGGCTCCACCGAAGGTCCCCGTGGCACCGCCCGCATGCGTCCGCCACCACCCAGCACAGCCCTTGCTCCCTGCGCTCCACCCACCCAGTACAACGCTTCGTGACCCCAAAAATGGGGCTCCACCGAAGGTCCCAGTGGCACCGCCCGCATGCGTCCGCCACCACCCAGCACAGCCCTTGCTCCCTGCGCTTCACCCACCCAGTACAGCGTTTCGTGGCCCCATAGGGGGCTCCACCGAAGGTTCCAGTGGCACCGCCCGCATGCGTCCGCCACCATCTAGCACAGCCCTTGCTCCCTGCGTTTCACCCACCCAGTACAGCGTTTCGTGGCCCCATAAAGGAGGGTTCCACGAGGGTCCCAGTGGCACCGCCCGCATGCGTCCGCCACATAATGAAACTATCAAGAA